TATATATATATATATATATATATATATATATATATATATGCTGTAATATAAATCAAGAAAGCCATGAACACTGTTAAATTATATACATAAATCATCAAAGAAAGGTAAATACAGTGTTCGAATAAAGGACATAATAATACATCGTGTAGCATAGCTGTCAACGAATGTAGTCCTGTAAATAAATGAATAAAGAAATTGTGTAATAAAATGCCTCTGGCGGGACTCAAACCTGCGACCTCTCGCTGTCAAGGCGAGCGCCATAACCATTAGACCACGGAGTCTTCATGGTTAAACAGATTCAAATACCACCAAATAAACTCCATTACACAATAAGTACGGCTAGAAACAAATAATTGCATATGCTGTAATATAAATCAAGATAGCCGTTAACACTGTTAAATTATATACATAAATCATCAAAGAAAGGTAAATACAGTGTTCGAATAAAGGACATCGTGTAGCATAGCTCTCAACGAATGTAGTCCTGTAAATAAATGAATAAAGAAATTGTGTAATAAAATGCCTCTGGCGGGACTCGAACCTGCGACCTATATATATATTTATATATATATATAAATTTGAAAAGGCAAATGGGAAGAACCCATAAAACAGCAAACGGCCACAAAATGCAAAACAATTTAAAATTAAACGGAACAGTATAGAAAATCCGATCAGAATGACAAAATAAACTAAGCATCCACTGGAAGGAATCCCAATATCTGCAGACGGATCCTAGCTGCACTGATGAGGCCTGGAAGGCCGAAACGGATCCGTCCAGGGACGTATCCAGGGGGGAGCCGTGGGAGCCGCGGCTCCCCCCCACCCCCTTTGTACACAGTGTTAAAATTTTAAAGCTTATTCTTGAGCCAATACAAATTCTTTCCAGGGATCACTTAAAATAAATACTTCTAAACATGTAAATATGCATCAGTACACGTTATACATAAGCTTAATAGAACACATAAGCCTAAGCGTGATTTAAAAAAATCTTAAATCCATAAATATCAGGCCATCTTTTAAGATAGAAATGCGATACTGTGGTTCAATTTCATTTTTATCCTTTTACAAGTTTCTTTAAATGTTTGTTTAATAATACTACTACTAATAGTAATAATAATAATAATAATAATAATAATAATAATAATAATAATAATAATAATAATAATAATAACGATGATGATGACAATAGTAATAATTGATATTAATATTAATAACAATAAAAAGTGAAGAAAATTGTGCTAAATGCGAAAAAATAAGTTGTGATTTGTTGATCATAATATAGTATATATAGTTAAAGCTTAGTAAGCTATAATGAGGCCTAAGTTGTCCTGGATATTAAGTAGATCCCTGATAAAAGATCATGAGAAATTTGTTGGCGTTTCATTTTGAGTATAATGGTAATGTGATGATGATGAATTTTACTATATAAAAGTGTCATTTCCGGCCATTTCGAGAGGTTCTATTTCCTCAAATTTTCTCACCTCAGCCCCAGCCATGGTGGGGCTGAAGTGGTTGTGAAATCACGTTTTTGAAGTGGGCCTATGTAAAATACATACTCAAAGACAATCTTTTTAAGCTTTGTTTTCTATGGTGTATACACACACAAATGACACAATTATATAGTAAAAGTCATCATCATAACACCACCACGATCTTTTATCAGCGATTTCAGGCTATCATAAGGATTTAATAATCTGTATTTTACCATAGAAAATTGAACTTAATTATCTTTTGATGTATTTACTTTACCTACTTTGTGTGCCCTAAAATCTTTTTCTCATACTTCTCAAATTATAACAAAAGCATGCATACTCAAGTCGTGTGTTATAGGTAATTCAGACGTTAGTGATACCGGTATCTTACTATAATAAGATGTACAATACAGTACAAGGTTGTACAACGTTTTTTTCCCGTTAAAACCTGGGTCATTTATGCAGTTAATTTCAACAACTTTCAGGCATCATCTTTACATATGAAATTACATTGCAGTCAAAACGTGAGGGCCCAACCCTCTAAAAAATATGTGGGGAGGGGGTTGTGTTCTTGTCTGTCCATAACAGGGGTGAAAGATGAACTGGGTTATTTAAAATATACATGAGCCAAATGTGTACACTGGGCCCATGGTTTATAGTCCTTATCTGAGAAGACTTGTTCCACAAGATCCATAGGCGAGCGTGCCATTGTATTTAGGTACATGCGCAGCCAATCCAATTTATATATAAAGTTGTTTAAGCCGTCTACATAGTAGAAGGTAGGAAGTCCTAGTTTCAAAGATTAGAAATGCGCGAGTGACTACACCAGTTGATTGGGGGATCAGGGGGCAGAGCCTGGGTGGGGTCCAGCTCTCGCTCCAACCATCTGAGCATTTTAAGCTGTTTTAAAACGATATCAGGAAGTGTTTGATGACAATACCAGGTACATAAACAAAAATATTTTTATAGAGAATGTGCAACGAGGTAGCGAATGCTGGCAATTGTTTGGTACGAGTACGTAAACAGGAATTTTCTCGTTAATTGATTCTCGAACGATAACGAAAGCTCTCTAATGAATCAAGTTACTGCATGACCGTTATTATATTTTTAATAAAACCAATTTTATTTTAATTTTTAATACATTTTCCCCTGAATTTGTTATCACGCATAAACTTCTGCTAAATGCGTAACAAATTTACGATCACGCACGTTTTAGCAAAATGTGTATTTCATCCAAAATCACTTTCAATCAGGAATTTTGTGACAGAGCATGACTCGGCTGGTTTATGTCCAACCATTATCATCATCACCATCATAATGATCATCAAAATTATACTTATAAACATCAGGGTCTTGATGATGATCATCAGATCTTGATAACAACCATGATCATGATTATTTATGATCACCATCATTATGATCATCATTCATGATCATCATCATGGTCATCATTGTCAATGTTATATTAATCACAGACTTCATGTTACTGTGTAAACTAGATGATCTTAACTTAACATTAAGAACAACAAATCTTCTCAACAGTTTTCCCCCTGTACAGCATCTTTATTAGTGAAGTTCCAATTATAAACTTTCTTACAGGCTTTACAAATTAAAATAAATTATGTTTCTATTCAGCTAGTTAATTCCATCTTAATGAATGTCATAATACTAAATAAAATTGTAACCACCTTGATGTAATCCGCTAATAAAAATTACGGTAAAACAAATTTTACAAACTTAAACATGTGTCCAGCATTAAAATGTTAACTATAACAGGCAATACATTTTATATTATGAGGAATGAAAGTGAAAAAAAAAGAAGAAAAAAACAACCAAAATGTGTCTATGGAAAGAAATTTTTTCATAGGACTAGGAAGTTAAAAAGAGATTTTAAAAGAAAATTTTATCTACTCCTTCTTGTCCTTTGGTTCTTCTTTATGATGTAAAAACACGAGACTGAATAGAAAGAGGCCAACCATCATGGAAAACGCACTACTGTAATATGGATCAGCTGACGGAATGAAGCGCTCAAACTGAGTATGCTCAAACGGTCGTACGGACACCTGGAAAAAAGGAAAGGTTGTTATATTAGTTAAAATTCTTTTAAGTAAAATTATTTGCAAGTTATTATAATGAAAAATAACTGTCTTAAAAGCAAACAGGGGTGAGAAAGTAGGAAAATCCTATATGACGACATAATGAATTAACCAGGACACATTTTACAACAATATTTCATACCTGCCAACATTGTAATATCAAAAATAGGGATGCTTATTTATTGGTGCCACGCCCCAAACCAGTGTTCGAAATAAGGAAAAACTTAAAGTTGTCCGGAGGTCAACCTAGATGAAAACTTTTGGTTGTCCGCAAATGTTTTTACTTGTCCGTGTATATTATCTGTTGCTTGCTTCATTTTTTACCTTGCATTGTTTTCCCTTCTAAGATCGTTCAATGTAACAAAAAGTTCGATGAAAAGTTTGAACGCCTTCTCGCGCGCGCCTCCATTCGCCTTGATACGTGAATCAGTGCCTTGTTGTGCATCCCGCCCATAAAGCTATTAAACAACTAGAGTGCTGACAAAATGATGAAGCAATGCAGAGTTATGTATGTGTACCATCATAGTAAAACGCCACCTTCAGGCTTAGTATACATATTATTACATATTAATAAGCCCTCTGACTGACTATTATTTCATTAATGATAATGAGTAATGGTAATAACACATTATTAAACTATTGTAGCCAAAACAAGGCCAAGTGGAGCATCTTATTCAAAAATAAAGTACCAAGGAATGAAAATAAACATTACACCCAAACTCGAGTTTGGCTAAATCTATGGCAGCCATCTTGGATGGCACACACACACAGTTCTGCATATTTCAAACATCGAATACATTGCGGTAAGCGCTCTAGTATTCTTATTACATCTCTATGGGCCCGCCACAGTATAAGTAACATGCGAGAGGGCGCCTCAGTTCAAGTCCCAGAAAACGCGAGAAAACATGTGATTCGGTGAATGCAAAATGGCCGCGCTCGTGACAACAACATAGTAAAGTTCGGGAGGAAAAAACGATTACTTGAGGTGAGGTTTGGGTCCAAAATTTTTTTGTTGTCCCACGGACAAGTTGCCCTATAATTCTAGTTGTCTGTGGGACATTTTGGTTGGCTGGGACAAGCGGACAAGCCTTATTTCAAACACTGCACCACAAACCATTTGTAAGACTATGGTAATTATATCCTAATTCCTGTACAGTTGCTTTAAATGAAAAACAAGAGTTAACTAATTTTAAGAAAGTATAATACATACTCCAAGTATGGAAATACACGCCATCGTGTTGGGATTCAATATTTCGACATTAATTATGTCATAATCAGGAATGATGAACTAATTTTAATTGTGTAGTTTATCTCAAAACCAACACAAATATTACATTACATTATATTAAGTTACATTTTAATCGGTAGGCCTACAAACTTTACCATGAAGGGCTTGTTTCGCTGATCTCATAACGTCATTATTTAGCCTAGACGAATGACACTTAATATCTCAACATTGCCAGCTTGTGTGTCATGCTAGCTCGATGGTTGGTCTTGTTTTTTTCAACAATAGAGAAAACCCTCTCACAGTCGATATTGCTATGAAATATTACCGTAGTTCCCGAGGTATAGTCCCACCTCGGGTATAATCCCACCCCCGACTTTATGCCCAACTAACTTCGCCTGCAAGAATTTCCCCGGGTAAAGTCCCAGAAAATTGTGTGAGTAGGCCTAGGCCTAGGTCAGTAAATTTAACAAATGCTCACAAAAAATTAAGAGATTGTCTCCAAATTCTGCCGACTTGAAACTCTTTTAATTGCTTAGAACAGACACATGAAGTTGAACACAAAGCCCATCCTTGTAAATTCTTTTGTTGTTTACTGTCGCTAAAATAAAAACAGCTCGCTATATGCGGCTAAAAATAGACAACACAACGGTTCTTCCCTACATAGACTCGCCCAATGGGATGATCAGATCATTAATTCACAGGGGATTCACAGCGTAAAGACCCACGTGTTCCACAGCTGCAGCTAAAAATAGACAATACAGCAGTTCGTCCCTAAAGAGACCCACCCAGTTGGCTGATTGGATTGTTAATTCACAGCGTGAGGTGGAGTGGGATTACACCTAGGGAGCTACGGACTAATATCCCATTCATCACATTGGTAAGTAGTGGATAATTCTTACAATGTAAATTTTTTTTTTTTTTTAATTCTAAAATTAGGGAACTCTTGATTTTTTGTTGTTTTTGACATTCGAAATCAGGACAATCGATCCCGATTAAATCTGGAAAGTTGGAAGGTATGATATTTTTGACAAAAAAATAATACAATCAAAACTGAAGATACAATTTTGAGATGCCATGTCTGAATTGCATAGGGCAATCAACTTTATATATATTATAATGCAATCAATATAGAGCATATTAAGACCATCAATAGTGCATATAGTTCTAAAACCCTAGTTCAGAAGCATCTCTGTTCTACAGCATGAGGCATTTTGTTTTACTTTACTTCTTGTTATGGACCCAAATGCAAATACGTTTTACATTTGTTTAAAACTTTACTTAGTTATCCACGTTGAATTAGTTAATTCTAACTTGTACTTTGTATTTTTAATGCTTGCTCATTTTATGTAATGTCCACCCAAAGACCCCAGTGACCCAGTTGGTTATCATCTACAGCAGGGTGGGCATGAAAGTGCGTCGAAGGGTCAAAGCTGACTTTTTATTTAGCACGGAGGGCCTCATTCAAAATGTTGGTGTTTCCAGTGTGCTTCCAAAAGCCTTCATACACTGCTGTTTTAAAGCTGAGCTTTATACTCAGCTTTAATATTACATTTTACAGATCGTCAGGCCATAAGAAACAAGATGTTTTCTAGCTGCACACATAGCGACTTTAATTAATTAACCACACACACATAGGGACGTTAATTAATTATGCCACAAGAAATCACTGTTGGCAAGAAATTTGTCCACCTGGGATCTACAGTATACGGCAGAATTCCAGTTGGGATTTGCTTCATTCTTACATATCTCTCTTTTTGTACAAAGTAATCATTTATAAAAAAAATGACATAGATAAAGCAATGACATATGTTTCTATACAAGTATATACTGTATAATTGGTTAAAAAAAAAAGTTTTAAGGATAATATTGTCAGTCCTACACCTTTTATCAGCTTAACTATAGCTGAACCAAAATAAAATAATATACTGCAAGAGCAAACAATAAGAAATAACACATGTAATAATATCTACATATTCACCTGTGTAGTACTGTACAAATGAGAGAAGCCAATTTGATTGTAGTCCACCTTAAACTGGAACACTCCATAAACATCAGGAAGCTTAAATTTAGTAGAGAATCTTCCATCTGAAAAAAAAAACTACAATATAACTGAAATGCAAAGATTGAATGAAAACCAAGACAAAGTTTGCAAGGCAAATATATAAATATAAATCCTGGTATATTAGAAGTTGATATTTAAAAAGATCTGTTGATTTTGCTTAAACGATCAACCCCTGGGCCCGCATTAATGCAGGCCAAGGTCACCAGGGACGATCGTAATTAATTATGCAATTAATTAACAATAATTATTTTAAAATCGTATGCACGGTTTAGTGTGCATGTAAGTTAAAAGAATATGTGAGAAAATATCAAAAAAACGTTTATAGAAAATATTCCTTCTTCAATTTAAAATTAATTTCTAAGTTTATGGTAATTAGCAATTTGTAATTTGATCGTTGTTTTTGTAACATGATCGCCTTGATTGAGGCGTCGGCGTCAATACTGGTGGTGAATAAAATCACCTATAAACACACTTTATTTTCAGAAAATAATTATTCTGACACTTTCATACTATAAATATATTTTCAAAATACTGTACCAGATTTGGTTATTATATCGACATATTTCCGCGTAAAATTGATTTTTTTGTGGCTGAAAGCAAAGCATGTGCTATCAATTACACTTGACGCCATCTTGTGTGTTTACAAAAATGAAAATGAACCCGCAACATGATCGTTGAACTTTTTAACTTTCTGTTTTTCGGTGACCTGCGCCCTCTACACGTTGAGACAGATGAGAAAATAAAGAATAATTTTGATACTAAATCGTAATTTTTCGTATTTTTTCATATTTAAAAAAAAAATCATCTGAATTTTTGAAACATACAATACGCAATTTTCGCACGACCTTGGAAGGCTAGACAGAAAATTATAAATTATGGATTTTACCTCGCGAGGTAGGTTAGGCTATTCACGGTACGGTGCGTAGTGGGGAATGAGTGACTGAACGCGGCGAGGCGATTAGGGCCCCTTCGATGTAAAATTTTATATTATTTTTATCTTCCAAAGTTCTTCGTCAATATATTCAATTTTATTTATTTTGTAAAGGAATAATTTGTGCTGATGTGGAGATGTGTTTGTATTCTGACTACTGACTAAGGATTCAATAATTTATTTTAAAAATTATTCATCAAAAAATATTTATAAAATAAAACAATAATTGGAAATAATTTATTTTTTAAATTTTTTTCATAATTTCACAATACTGTTATTTAGAAGCATGTTTTTATTATCTTTTACACTTCACTCTTATCACCTTATAGGCCTATAGCTCTATTTATTACATACTTTTGCTTTTAAGTGATGTGCGGACAAATGGGTCAATACGGACAAATTCCAGTTGTACATCATTAGAATCAAATGGTTTCCACTGTCCGGACACAAGCTGTTCAATTAGTATACTTTATTCCTAAAAAAAAAAATTATTATTTTACAAATTAATATTTTTTTTCTCTATCACTTAAATTAAAAAAAACATTTAAACTGCAAACAGGAACAGTTAGAGGCTTAGGAAGATTACACTCCAAAATACAGACAAAAAGATTTCTAAATTGTCAAAATTTGTAATTCAGGGAGTTAAAAATCTTCATCAGAGTTCGGTGGTAAGCTTGAATATTTTAATACCTTGAAATTCATGCATATTTGAGAAATCAGCCTTCAAAGTTTATGATTTCAGGCATTTCTCAGGCAGAAACCATCACTAAATCCTTGAAAATTGTTGTTTTAACATTGAAAATGGGGAAAATAACAACATAGCATGATATATAAAGGTGAAATAAAATATATTTCAAAAATGTTGACATCCCAGGATGTTTTGGTCATAATCTCTGAAACAGGATTTGCGACGAGTGACTGGTTTGGTTTGTCTTTGCCACATGTATCAATCATAAACTTAAGGAGAACACTCCCAGCTACTGAAAGGTCATCCCCTGCCTTAGCTTTTGACCATGCTTGAGGCTCTAACAATCAATATTCATATTATAAAGAAAGGTTATTTGGATTATTATTTAGAAAAGATTGTTCATAATGACGTATCGCCAGAAGAAGATTGTTACTTGTGCAGTATGATGTTTCAAAGGCCAGTTTTCAAGCTTAAAAATAAAAGCAATTTAAAGCCTAAGTAACATGAATTTCAGACCCTGAAATTGAGCAAAAGGTCTACTGACATAGTACCAGCAGTATAAAAAAATAAATAAAATAAAAAAAATAACGAAAACGGACTGATTATAAGTTTCCAATTTCACTGTGCTTTGGCAAAACAACATTTTTTTTTTTTGGCCTCATAAGCAAATGTATGCAAGCTATGAAATAGAAAGGCCTTACCACATGATCTTCAATGGTGTAAGCAGCTGGGGGTGTCTTTTGTCCGACAATATGATGGCTAACACCAGTGACACGAAGTACGCCCTTCTCCTTGAACACCCATTGAGAGAGAGCATATGCAAGGTCTTGGTTGCCAGACTTAGCAAATCTATTTGAAAAAAAAAAACAAATAGTGTAACTAAAAATCTGCCGATATTATTGTCTAGGGATAACGATTTCAAAGAGAGCATTATATCTTAGTCAACTAAATTTGTGGTAGCCACTGTGTTTGGCAATCATGGAGACCACTGGATCCCTGATTCAATCAAGTCCCTCTGTGCAACATGGCCCATGTGCAAGAATGTACAGGTAGTATACTTCTCAGAAGAGCAGGAGATTGCTCTTACACAACAACACTAAAAAGACCCACTAGAAAAAGTTTTCGTACTTTAGTGTATTTTCTTACGCTGTTCTACACCAAAAAAAAACAACTTAACTTTAACGTTAGTACCTAACTTGCAACGCGATAACTCCGCCCCTTTTGTAAACAAATAAAAATGCATGCGCAAACCCATAACTAACGTCCGTCGAGCACGAAAACTCCACAACGCAAGATGAATATATTATGACGTCATCTGTTAACGTTAAGGTTAACGTCGTGCAGCGAAAACTCCCTAATAATACACTGTAAAACCTTATTTTTGCGATTTTGCAATTTGAAATATTTTTCAGCTTTTTAAAGTAGAATAGCTTAATTTTTGTGACCATCGTTTTATCCGGAAAATTAAAGGGTTACAAAAATAAGGGGCTTTACAGTATTGAAATTCATGCAGAATAAAGATGAATCCTTGAATTGAATACCTGTATAAATTTTAAATGAAAAAAAAGTGCATAATTTGCTTACTATTAATGCAATAATTAGACTTATGTATTAAATCATAAATATACATACACTTACCATCCTATGATTAAGATGAAAATTAAAAAGCACTATGGAATTGCTATGTACCTTTCAGAGCCTGCAACGGCCTTTTGAACGGCAGACTGGAAGTAAGCATCGCTGAAAAACTCTAAGGAACCAGAGAACACAACGCGAGCATTGTTACGGGCCTGGAGGGCAGTGATGAACTGTGTGTTCTTACCAAAAGCGTGTGGATAGTCGACGATGTCATCAGAAGGATTGTGGGAGTATGAGGAAGAAGTACCGTGTAAGATATCCATTACCAGGGGGTTCTCTGGGTCGGCAGTCATTCTAAAATTATGAAAATACATAGTGTTAATAAATAGATATATTTAACTTTCTTCAAAATTAGTGTTCTTTAATGTCTTATACAAGTTCACCCTCCAATTTGGAACCACGTTTGGGCCCTAATTGGTCTAGGGATTCGGTCTCCTGTTAGCATAGTATTTTGTGGAAATACAACCTTTCAATTTAATATTACTACGGTATACTTACCCAACACCCTTGAATAAAATCGGATTTAATTTCTTATCTCCTACAATAGTTTTAGATTCTATGATGTTCGAGGGATCAGCTACGATCAATGTATGCTACAAAAATATAAAAACAAAATATATTAAACTACCGATATTTATATTTCACTTTATTCAAATTCAAGTACAAGTTCCTCGTTTGTAACAATTCGTGGCCAATGGCCAAATTGCAAGTTACAATTACACGAGGGAATGGCAATAAAACATATAAAAAATTACATTAAAATGGAAGATAATTATTGTCATAATAAAATTATTATTATAAGAATTGACATAACAATGAAATTGAATACAAGAAAACTTTAAATTAAAAAGAAAGATTACTATTATCATTTTCGTTCTTAAGCCTAGTATTATAAAATTGCTACAGCAATTGTTACATATTGAAACTGCTCTTGATGCGACATGGAACACTTCCTAATTTGTCATCGATGCCATCAGCAAAGCTGAACCAGTTTTACTTTTCAGACTTGTTGGCAATGTACCATATTGCAAAATACATATGAGGTGAGCTGGCCATTATAAACATATTTTTTCCAATTTTATCTGCATATTCTAAAGCAGTTTAAGTTCAATCAGTGACACTCCTAAAGCTATGAATAGTGAGCTTTCGATTTGCACGATGACGCGACACTAGAACAGAATCACTCATGCATGACCGCCCAACAGGGCGTCCTACGTACTCTGCATTCATAGATTTGGCCGAATTGTGGCCTAGAATCCACGTAACGGGCAGAACTTAACGTTCTCGCATGCGCAGATGACATTTAGTGACATCATTACGTTTTAAGTCCTACCGTCGTCGTGCAATCGAAAGCTCCCTACTTTCAATTTCATATACTCAGCAAGCCTTCATCTTTGACGTCAAAGTTAAGGTGATCTATTTACAGTCTTTTCCTCATCAATTCAACACCACAATTACTTCCAATTTCCCTTATAGGGTCACCTGTAGGATTTAAATGTAAACCTATTCAATTTATTAAACACAAATATATTTTTTTCTTGATAGAAGATGAGATATGATATGCATTTTTCCTCACAATAACCATACCGGACTGTAAGGCATTTATCAATTCCTATTAAGGCGAGACTTAATACCTTGTTTTGCAAACCCGCTGCCCGCCAAAAATAATGATTTAATTTTTTATTTTTTGCCAATTAGCGCACCTTCCACCACAAAAAAAAAACAAACAAACATAAATTTCAGAAAATTAAAAGTTTTTCTTTATTTTTTTACACCCGCTGCTGTATTGAAATCTCCAAAAATAAAATATGTATATTTCTTCCTACTTATATAAATTTAAAGCATTATACCTTTTCAATACTCCACTGTTTACATACACTTTATAACAATTTATTTTTATTTTCTCCTCCATCTGGAGTTTTTTGGCAAAACTATTTGCTAAATAAGAAAACAACATTATATTTTTATTTTTTTTCCCGCAAATCTGATGATCTTTAAAAAAAATAACTTTGCGAAACAAGGTATAAAAAAGTCTTGCCTAAACGGGGTACATCACAACAACAATTCAATACAATACTGTATACCCTTATTTCAAGCAATGTAAATCATCCAATATAAAATTTTCAACTCAAGAATTTCAAGAAAATGAGGAAACGGAAGTTAGAAATACACTACCATATCACAATCGTATATTTTTTACTGTTTTATTATGTTTACTGCACTTGTAGTACTCACCTACAATATAAGGAGGAAACATATCTACCATGCATGTATCAAAATCTTATATCCTTCATTGCTTTTTGAAAGTTTACTGTCCTTGCACTCACCTATACTTGAACCTGCAGCTACTAAAACATTACCACCACCATCAATGAAATCTAAAACTGTATCTTCTCCAATGTTGCCTCCAAATTCTTAAAAGTTAATAAGAATAAAAACATCATTAAAACAAACTTCTTGGTTTACAGCTGACATTAAATGTGCTATACAACAGAGAAAAAAATACACTTCCAAACATACGAATTAAATAACCTTTGGAAGAATGGATTTAAGCAAAACTGATGTCACCCTTGCAAATTACTCAACTGCTCTTGAAAACTGGTTGACAAATGTGAGTCATAATTGTGATGGGACATAAGCACTCTGTGAGGTGACCTAAAGCAACGAAAGAAATGCCAGTTGCTCTCAGTCGCATCAACCTTCACTTTGCTGCACTACAATGTAAATTACAAGCAATTGAAATTTATTGTGCAATATTAGTGACCCAGCAACTCAAATTGGTAATGTCGTATGAAATTATGGTAGCATTGCATAGCAATGAGTTGGAGAGTATCTACAGTAGGAAATCACAAATGCACTCAGGGCAACTAAAGTTGTCCCAACACTCCTTCACTTTTAAAACTCCATCTCCCACACATAACAAACTGTCATTACAAAAAAACTCTTTTGTGCCAAATTTATTCTCATTTTTAACTTAAATTTTTAACAACAAAAATGAACCTTTTTACAATAATATTTTGATAGTAAATACTATTTTAATAACCGATTATCGTTGTTAGATATCATTCTAAAATATTTCAAGAATTGCCATGTATGGCAACCTTCGAAGCCAATTTTCTTGTATCTTGTAGTCGCTTGCATTATGCATGGTTGCGTGATTGTGGTTGCTACCAAGTTGAGTTGCTTTGAGTTCAATCGAGTCAGAAATGGCAACATAAACTTACCAACAACTACAATACTTCATATAATGCATTTCTTACAAATAATTCTATAAATTGTAACTTTTGGTGTTATCTTATTGCCATGCAATTAAAAAAAAAATTATGCCTACTTTAATTTATTCTTTTTAATTATAAAGTTTTACTATAATATGATCTCTAAACATATTTATATTATTGCTGTGGCATGAATCTTCAGTATCAGAAAAACAAATATTCTTGAGAAGTACCGTACTTACCCTCAACTGAGGGTAAGATGTTCATAAAGGTACTCTCCATAGCTTGAGTTTTAACCCTTAAAATACCGAATTCCGAGGGGCAGCTACCATATAGAACTGGATTAATTTTTCCATTATCGAGTCGCTTCTCTTCTTATGGATTTTTGAACACTTTCTTTTGATTTGAGAAAAAAAAATGTTTCTAAAAACAAATGTTCCTTTTGAAATGGGCTTTCTTTTGAAATATAGTATACAATTTTATGATTTTTTTTTTCTGTATGAAAGGTGAAAATGAAAATTCACCATATCATGAAACAATTTTGTTGGCGAGTTGTATTTGTCAACTGATTTCCTTCGTCAGTTATATGTATTATTTCAAGACATCAATGTATACAAATAATATAAAATGTTAATTATGGATTGGGCTTTATTTTGATATATAGTAAATAATTTTACTTTTTTTTGTTTGAAATGTGTATATGAACAATCAATAAATTGTTCTGCTTGTGATCTGTAAACTGATTCCTTTGTCATTTATGGAAAATACATAATAATTATATCCAAAATTGATCACCATTGGTCTGGCCTCCAGTGGATTAGAGACACTCAAGCCCTGCTACTACATCAAGGTTGATGATCATAGCAGAGATAATAGGGTGCAAACATTGTTTGCCCCTTGAAAACATGTAAAATGTTTATATACATACATAGGCCTACATACATACAGTAATTATTCAGACGTTTATTTACATATCTAGTCAAATTTACTAAGGAATGACACATTTTGCTAATATTTACTTACTTGTTGTCATACTCACAGTTTAGTGGTGGTATTCCTTGGTGCATTTTGTTTTGTAGTCCATGAGTATGTGGAATCACTAGAAGCAAGGCACAGGACACATACTGTAAGCTCGTTGCTGGGTGTAAAGTTCGATGGGGCAGGGTTTCGTGCTGAAAGAAACCCTGCCCCATCGAACTTTACACCCAGCAACGAGCTTATGTGTAAAGTTCGATGGGGCAGGGTTTCGTGCTGAAAGAAAGTGGATACATACTTTGATTTGGGATTCCAATCAAGAGGTTAGATAAGTTAGATACAGAAAAATTATTATAATTACCTCAACATTTTTCCTGTCTCTTATACCCATCT